AATAGGCAATTAGTGCGAAGACTGTCTTACCTCCAGCAAGTTAAGTCCACTCTCGTCTAGTTGAGGGAAGAGTTCTCGCATGTCTTTCTTCCTCCACTTCGGGAACGTAGATGCGTAGTCGCGCAGCTTGGTGACACCTGGCCACGTCGCCTCATTCGGCGTGCCAAAAGTTCTGTAGACACAATAAAACGTCAGTCTACTATCAAGTAAAGTTGAATCCAACCAGAAACTCACCGGAAGATACGGTAGAGCTGGTCAATTTCCGAATCGCCTGGAAAAAGCGGCTTCTTGGTCACCATCTCGGCAAAGATGACGCCGACGGACCAAATGTCCACTGGTGGAGAATACACCTCCTGACCCAATAGGATCTCGGGTGCACGGTACCAAAGCGTTACCACTTCGTGCGTGTATTTCTTGATGGGGAGGCTGAATGCACGCGCCAGACCAAAGTCGGCGATCTTGAGCTCTCCTGTCGCGTTCACTAGCAAGTTCTGCGGCTTCAGATCCCTTTATAACAGCATAATAAATGTAAAAAAAAAAAACATACAGGAACTCGTATTTATCGTTCAGTGCCACGAACCGATGCATGATGCCCCGAGAGTGTGAAAAGGCGAGTCCTTTGAGCAATTGGTACAAAAAGCTCTTGATCTGTGCGGGTTCAAGCTTGCCAAGTGTGTGCTCCATGTATCGCTTGAGATCTTTATCCATGAACTCGAAGACGAGGAAGAGCTTGCCATCCTCTTGCAGACAATCCAGCAAACTCACGATGTTGCAGTGCTCCAATTCACGAAGTACCGAGATCTCACGCAGTGCAGTACTGGGAATACCGTCGTCCTCCGTCTCGAGGCGGATGCGCTTGAGCGCCACAACTTTCTTGGTCTTGAGGTCCAGCGACTTGTACACGACGCCGTATGTGCCCTCGCCGATGGAGCCGCCCTTCTCGATGCGTTGGTACCGGTCCATGGAGAGCAATTATTGAAAAAGGCCAAGTTGACTTTTTACAATCTCCCGCGCTTTTTGCTGGGGCGGAAGAGGTGATGAAATGTCACTGTTCTGAATCCGAAAACAATATGGGTTATGTATTGGCACTGGAGAGGGGGGGGCATATTGGTTGTGCAGCATTTCTAACGACGTTTCTATCGCTTGAAATACACCTGTACCTCTTTGCTGGTACCTCGTCCAATCTCACCTTGTTGATGAGCGTCGGAAGGTAATGACGATACAGAGCCGCGGCGCATGATCAGGCAGACGAACGAATGGTGCAGGAAAACAACCTTCGAGCCTCACTAGTGACACTACACGCTCAAAGGCATCGTCCATAGGCCGCAATGTGAGAAGAATTTTGAAGGTTGTCGCGAAAAATAAGCAGAAACATACAAAAATTCAGCGAAAATGACAAGATCCCGGAGCCTGTACGTGTAGGTTTTCTCACTATTTTCCGCTCGAAATGCATACGTTTTCTGTCAATTCGTGTCAAAAACTGTGCCTCTTGGTGACCTACACTCAGTGGCGCCTTCGATGTGCATTTCTCGGTCCAAGCCAATCCCACTTTGCGGGAAGTTGCTTTTGTATTTAATAAGAGAACTGTTATTTTATGTGTAGCGTAGCTCGACGACTATTTTCCTTGTCCAAGCGCCTCGATGCACAGTTTCGTTTGACGAGAGCTCATTACCCAAAAAGCCGCAATTGGCCCCCTTCCCCCGCCCTTTACCAAGGAAGCAGCTTAAGAAAAGCAAACGAACAGGGAGACTATGTCTTTCTAAGTTGGTGTGTTTTTCGCGTGGTGGTCAAGATGATGTCTTGAAGATCGATTTCAGCTCTCCGTCCGTACTCAACATGAATATGGACTAAGAGAAGAAGGCAACACGTTTGAAAAAACAAACGGAACGTTAGAAATGATGGCGACGTAGCACGGAGTTAGAAGGATGGTTCCCCGGAATGAAGAATTGAAGACAAGAGAAGAAGAAGCAACAAAGAACAAGTGAAAAACAAGATACCAAGTAATAACAACAACAAGAAGACAAGAAGACTGGCACCCATGCTACACGATTCGGAAGCATCGACGGCGTGGCTGCGCATGGCCGACCCTGTGAACTGGAATGACTGGAAGTTGGCGCTGGACAAGCCGAGCTTGCTGAGCGCTGGCACCGTCAAGACGGTGGAGCTCGTGGAAAAGGCCGATGACGGCAAGCTGGCTCACGACGTGGACGACCTGTCGGCGATCTTCGAGGGCCTCGTGGATGGAGCGGATATCTCTCTCCCCTGCGACGATCTTGAGGAGACCGCTACTGGCAGTAAGGACTCAAGTGCAGCCTGGATTGACAGCCTGGATGATGACGTGGTAAACGTGAACGATCTCTCTGCTGCGTTTGACGCGCTGGTGGAGGAGCAGGAGAAGACGGTGACGGCACCGGCGGACGACGAGGATGAGGAGATGGAGGATGCTGACAGCGACAATGAAGTTAGTGCCAACGTTAAGATCATCCCGTCGGCCCCCGTGTGGGCCAACATGGTCCCGCTCGACCCGCGATCCTGCATCCGTACACCGGTGTTTAAGAACCTGGACTCGCGTATTCCGCGCGTTCAGATGCCGCGGATAGATTTGACATTCTCTCCCAACGGTGCGACTGTGAAGGCTGCTGGTGCCCCTGGCGTCAGCCGCGCTAAGCAGTCGATGTCTCCGAAGAGCGAGAAGACCAAGGTCGCCAAGTACCACCATGATCCCAAGACGTGCTGGATCTGCAAGAGCTCCAAGACCCCGGAGAAGAAGCGCGCGCTGCACCGCTACCATGAGAAGCGGACGCGCCGCAACTGGAAACGGGGTCCTCGGTACACTGGACGCAGCAACGTCGCGACGTCGCGTGTGCGCAACGGCGGTCGGTTCATCTGCACGACGCGCTGGATATGATTTTCTTCTTGAGGCCTGCGGGCTTGTTTGATTTGGTTTGATTTCTTAGCTTTTCTTTTTACCTGGAGCTTCTCTCCACGCAGTTTTTCTTTCAGTTGGTTTTACCTTTCCTTTATAATGCAAGTAATGCATTGGCATCATTTTCGAGACAACGGCAAGGGACTGCGTTTTACATGTAGTAGATGGTTTTGCTTTCGATTTCTGCGTTGTGGCGATGAAATCGCAATAAGGCAAGTTGTTCCGCATGAATGAATGTAAGATATCTCTTCACGCATGTCTTCAGTGGTAAATACTTCACTACTTAATTTGTCAACTCAGTATGCACCGATCATCTCCCTAGCGTTGAAAGTTGTGTACGTATCCTTCTCTTCTTTTTAACTGAAGTTTCATAAGTTTCATCTTTTTCTTCAAACGTTCTCATCGTACCAAAATTGTGGTACAAACCAGGAACACACAACATCTGCCACTTCGCGCGACCGGGTTGAAAAACAAAGAAGAGAGTGCCACGTAAAATGGTGAGAGCTCCGCTGAGCAGGGCGCCTTTAATTCCTCTTTATCAGCAGACCAAATAGCTAACATTGCCGTCGTCTCTCCTTCTTTTCTTTCGCGTGTTTATAACGCAGTCTAGCAAGTTCCTGAACGACAAGAAGAAAAAGCTACAGGCGTTTAAGAACACGACCAATGCCAAGTACGTATCTGTACCTGCATGCGCTCACAACTTGGCTGTCATGCATAGTTTGCTGAGGGGTAATTGAGGTGCTGACGGTGTCTTACACAGTGACTCGATGGCAAAGTCGTACTTGGAGAAATTCAGCTGGGACCTCATGCGCGCTGTTGACGAATTCTACGCGAACGGCGGGGAAAGTCTAACGCCAGTGTGAGTAAATACCACAATGCAGTGTCAACGCGCTATCATTAACGCGAACTGCGTCTGGTTAATTAGGAAAAAGTCGACGGTCTCCATGGACGCAGTGAACGCGTGGTTCGATAACTACATAGGTGAAGTTGTGATGCCTATTGTTACTGCAGTACTGTACGAACGTCTTACCATTGTTTTAATGATGCTATAGACCCTGATGACGACGAGGACACGATCAATGAGGAAGGTATTCTTAAGTTCTGCGAGGATATCGGCGTGGACCCGCAGGATCTGGTGGTGCTAGTGATCGCGTGGAAGATGCAGGCGGCTTATATGTGCGCCTTCACGCGCAAGGAGTGGCAGAAGGGCATGCAGGAGATGGGTTGCGACTCTGCCGCCAAGCTGAAGGCCAAGATTCCGCAGTTGCGCGAATCCATCGCGAGCGAGAGCGAGTTCAGGAAGTTCTACTGCTTCTGCTTCGGTTTCTCCAAGGAGCCTGGCCAGAAGAGCCTCAGTATAGATATCGCAGTGGCTATGTGGGAGCTGCTTCTCCCCGCACGCTTTGAGAAGCTCACAGCGAGCTGGCTGGCCTTCCTGGCCGAGAAGAAGCCCGTCAAGGGCGTGACTCGCGACACGTGGGATCTGCTGTTCGACTTCTTCGTAAAAGTGCGCGAGTCCTACGACAATTACGACGAGAACGAGGCCTGGCCCGTGCTCATTGACGACTACATGATGTGGATAGACAGCAAGAAGTAGTCAATGCCACCAGCGGCAGCTTCAAAAAGCTTATACAAACAACAGTTCTACAACATGCATCAATCCTGAGTATGTACTTCAACACTGTACCATTTCTCCGGCACATTTTATTCACTTGAGCGGGTATCGAGTTTTCTAGGATTTGTATTGAGTTTGCAAGCATTTGTTCCCACTTCAAAAAGCCACAACACTTGGCATCATCACTCTGTCTCAGCCATGAGCGCGGTGGCCTTCTCGTCGGCCGAGGAGCTGCCCGAGCGCAGCTTCTTCCCCAAAGTTTACATGCACCAATACAGGCAGCAACTCAGTGAACTGTTGAAGCGTCTGGAGCTCCTTCTAGACGAGGACGAGCTAATTGAAGTCGATTATGACGGAGAACCCGTGTCCGCATTGCCCCGTGAAAGCGTATGGCAGAACCTCTGCACTCTGCAGAACTGCAGCGTCACTCTAAGCGACGTTATGGACCAATTCAAGCAGAAGATTCAGGAAAGCGCGGCTGTAGACCCGGGAGCGTTCGAGCTAGAGAGAACGCAGAGCAGCTCGTCGATCGACTGCAGCTCATCCGACGACGTGGATGAAGAGATCGACGTCGGATTCCACGACGTGGAGCCTGTGAAGGGCCGCAAAGCTGCCGTAGCACTCAACAATGACGTGACGGAGCGAGTAGAGAATGCACTGAGGGATGACGAAGAATTCGATCGCTTCAAGGCCAACGCACTAGAGTTTGGCATGGGTCACGAGTCAGCCGAGAGCTTCTATGCCTACTTAGCGCAGCATATCCCGGCTCCAGTGCTCGACTCGATCGTCGTGGACTTTGCACGACTACTGCCTCAACCAGCTCTTAGAGTTCCGCTGTTGAAGGCACATTATGAACACATGCAGAACGAACTGTCCAGACCCAGCATCGCCTCGTTCAAGAACAAAAGTTACAGTACTGTATTGACATCGAGATCGTCAACGTCCTCAAGTGCGTGCTGTTGTGACACTAAGGAGTGGGTTTATTTGACTCATACGGTGTGTTTTCTGGTGTGATACAGGTATTGACGAAGCTGGTAGCAGTGATGACGAAGACGAGGAGTATCCGTCAACGGTAGTAATTAAGTTTTATTTTATTTCTGTGTTTTGAAATTGTAGCTAACTATCGAGATTGGCTTTCTAGATCCGACTGCGGACGTTCAACCACCTCGTTTTCGTCATTCACGGTATTGGTCAACACATCGACTTCCGCGACGGAGAATTCAAGTCGTGGAACGGAGAGACGGGTGTCGAAGGCGGCAACCACGCCTTCCGAGATATGTTCCGCTCCATGCTGGAAACGACCTTCCAAGATATTCCTCTGGCGCTGGAAATGCAGTCGATCGAGTGGCATGAAGACCTCCACGATCCAACAGGTCTGGATAACGTTTTTGATTTAATCTCTCCAGAAGGAGCCTCAGCGTACGTTACCAATCCTTGTATACCTTAACTAATGCTTGGCCAGATGACTAACTCTGTTGTTATGATTGTTTTAGCATTCGCGAGTTCAACAAAGAAACATTTATGGACGTGCTGTACTATCTGTCGCCACGCTATGGTCAGCTAATTGTTGATTCAGTCACTCAACAACTAAACGAGAAATACCGCGTCTTCATGGACGAGCACCCAGGTAAGATACACACGGACTTGTATTGGGTTAGTTGCTTAACATCCGTTATTGTCATAGGTTGGGATGGAAAGGTGTCTATCTTCGCCCACTCTCTGGGCTCTATGATTTCGTATGACCTCTTAACACACAAGCCAGGTGAGGTAGCCATCAACGGTGTTCGTTTCCCTGGCCTTGACTTCGAGATTGACAACTTCTTCGGAGTTGGGTACGTCACTTACAAACGCAGTTAAATTGTGGCCACTAACTGTAATGGTTGCGGTAGTTCTCCGGTGGGAGTAATGATCCTGGCAAGAGGAGATCTCAACATTGAGGACGGAGAGTTCACCCCTGGAATCAAGATTCCAAACTGTCGTCGATACTTCAACGTTTACCACCCGATCGACCCTATCGCCTACCGTATTGAGCCGTTGATCAAGCAAGAAATGCACGACAAGGATCCCGTACAACTGATGCAGGTACAACATATCAGTGTCAATGTTTCCAGTTGAGGACCTAACCTTCGAAACGTGTTGTTGATGTGTGCAGTTCAGTGCCGTTAAGGACCAAACATTCGGTCAACTACAGGAGCAATGGGAAGGCTTGAATGGTCCAGTGCATGGATTCCCGTATCGTCATGACTATGTTATGCGGCGTCGCAAGCGCGAGCAAGGCATGATGGAAGTGGCTTTTGCTGCTGCCTCCCATTCATCCTACTGGATGAGCGACGACGTTGTCCTCTTCACCATTATGCAGTTGTGTCAGCCAGTGGTTGATACTCTGCATCGATACATGAGTGCCCGGGTTCCTCTTCCTAAACTCATGAGGAGCATTGTGGAGCTCACACCTCATACAAAAGTGTTGTTGTCAGCGACAGCTCTCGTTCGCGACCGATGCACGGGACTTTCGCGTGAGCAGATCGTCTTGATTGACAAGGATCGCCTCTACTTCTTGTCTCGACTCAGTGAAGTTGCATGTCGTCGCAAGTGGCGAATCAAACTGACAGCAACGACAAAAGCGGTGTACGGTGAAGACTCGTTCATGATGAAGATCATCCCCAATGACGCTGCTGTACCAGAACCAGGCGCTCCGCCCACGTCGAACAACGCCACACAGCCCGGAGTGCACACTTTCAAGGCTCCTTCAACTCCAGTGCGCAACCAATGGATGGACGCTATCAACGAAGCTGTTGTGAAGGCCAACAGCATCTTAGCTGAGGAATTACCAGCTCACAAAGTCACCAGAGACACTGCAAACCTCGTGGATCTCCCAACTGGCAAGAGTATCGACTATTTCAATGCTATCAAAGCCGGCTTTCTCAAGGAGAAGACCGCTAACGGGTGGTACGATTCGTGGAATGACCGGTGGCTCGTTCTTCAAGAAGACCACTTGTCGTGCTACGAAAACTCGCCCAAACTCGACTTTGTTGGCCAGTTCCCACTTCGAAAGACGAAGGCGTTCTGCTATGAGCGTGAGTATCTGATCCGCGTGGTTGCTCGTCGTGGAGCTGCGTGTGAGATGCGCGTACAGAACCAGGAATCATTTAACCGCTGGGTCGAAGTGTTCGAGAAGATTCCTACAGTCGAGATCTACCGTCATAAGGATTTATTAGAGAACAGCCCGTCCTCTGTGCTGATCATGACTGAAAGTTCGCGGGGGCATTTCAATGGGGCCCAGAAGAAGAGCAAGGGAGGTGAATGGCTGCAGACGAAGATCGAAGGGCACCAGATCAAACTCGATGAAAACGACCAAGAGTATGTGGCCTTTGTCATTCAAGTGGCATCCTCAACGGCAGGCCACAGTATCGTTCAACGGCGCTACTCGGAGTTTGCCAAGCTGCATCGCGAGCTACGGAAGTTGTTCCAACCCGAGCAGCTCCCAGCGCTACCCGGAACAAGAATGTGGAACAAGTTCGAACCCAACTATTTGAAGCAGAAGGCGATTGGTCTTCATGGATATCTGAACGAGGTGTGCAAGAGGTGTGCTAACACTCGCGCACAACCACTGCTGCTGGACTTCTTGGAGCTCACACCGCCAGCTACGGAGTTGAAGGAGTCAACGGAGGAGGAAAACGCTGAAAAGAATTAAATGATGAAGCAGAGCGGATAGAATCAACGACATGCGGTTGTATTCGAGCGTTTTTTTGAATCATCAACAGATCGCCTTGATCAAATCGAGCTATAGGCTTGCCTACTTGTCTTGGATCGTGAACTGTGCGCACAGGGCTTTAGACGCTGCGTGTTTGTCGTAGACGTTACAGTCCGTCTCGGGCTTCACGGCAGCGAAGTACTCACCTTCTTCGACGATACGACGGAAACCAGAGCCGATCTGAGGATCGAACATACCCCAGTCTTCACTAGTAAGTGTGAACGAGACGTCTTGGGTCTCTCCTGGCTGCAAGTGAATCTTGGTGAACTTCTTGAGCTGCTTGACTTCCGGGACCGAGATCTCGCGGTATGGTTGAATGAGGAACAGCATCACCGTCTCCTTGCCTGCGATGGGTCCAGCATTCGTGACTGACACACTCACCTCGAGTGAGGCCTCGTCAGTGTTTGCGATCGTGGTCTTGCTCAACGTAACAGCTCCGTACTGGAAGGTTGAGTAGCTCAGTCCATGTCCGAATTCCCACTCCATCTTGCAGGGGCGTTCATCACGACAGCGCGTGTCTGCTGGATGGTTATATGGGATCCCGATAGTGGCCGGTGTCTTCGGGTACGTGATTGGAAGTCGGCCACTTGGATTCACACGTCCATAGAGAATCTCAGCTAGTGCTTGTCCACCCAGTTCACCAGGTAGCATCGCGTATACGACAGCATGCGCGAGTTCAGCAAGACCCTGCAGCAAGCGAGGACGGCCTTGAACCAGCACCAAGATCACCTTTGTACCAGTGGCTGCGATCTCACGAACGTACTCGATTTGACCCAGCGGCAAGTTCAAGTCATCCAGATCACCAGGTTTTTCCGCGTACTCTCGTTCACCGATAGCGATGATCGTGTAGCTTGATTGTCTCGCTCTGGTCTTGATCATTTGAAGAGCATCCGAGGAGAAGGAGCCGTTGGGGTGGAGTGTATTGGCGTAGTGGACCGAGCCTGAAGTCATGTTGGCGATGCCCTGGCGAAGCGAGATCCCGTTCGGGAAGAGTCTGTTCCCAGATACGCCTTGCCAACGAAGAGACCATCCTCCACACAGCAAGCCCACGTTGTCGGCTGCGTGTCCCGTGAGGAGCACATCACTGTCTGCGCTTAGAGGAAGAACGTTGCCTTCGTTTTTGAGAAGAACAATCGACTCACGCGCGAGTTCCAAAGCTGCTTGATGACTCTCGTTTTGACCGACAAGAGCAATGTCGGCTTCAGTCCCGGGGAGAGCGTTCTCGTACAAGCCGAGCTTCATCTTGGTCGTGAGGATACGTCGAGTAGAGTCCTTGATTCGATCCAGCAGAACACGGTTCTGTTGAACAGTGTGGCGAGCCATGTCGATGAAGGAAGTGTTGTACGGTACCATGCTCATGTCCAGCGGAGCGTTCGTCAGTGCCATGCGAACTGCATCTTGATCTGTCCTGGCAAGTCGATGCCACACGTGAAGATTGTGGATCTCGGCGTAGTCCGTGACGATGAGACCTTCGAAACCCATGTCATGACGTACTAAATCTTGCAGGATCTTCGTGTTGGCAACAACTGGAACGCCATTGATGGAGATGTAGCTCTCCATTGCCGTCATAGCACCGGCTTTGATGGCAGCGAGAAACGACGGAGCGAAGTGGTTGAGTAGCTCGAAGTCTGAGATCGTGACACCGACGCGGTCGTGTCCCGATGGAGTTTTGGAGTAGCCGATGATGTGCTTCATACACGCCGCTGTAGTGCCATTACTTTGAATACCGCGGACGATGGCATCGGCCATGACGGATACGAGGTGTGGGTCTTCACCGAACGTCTCAAATGTTCTGGCCCAAAGAGGATTCTGCGAGATTTCGAGAATTGGAGAAAACAACCACGGGATTCCAGCAGCCCCAGTGTCGCGAGCGGTGATCCGTCCCATGTTGTAGGCCAGATCCGGGTTGAACGTTGCAGCGGCGTTGATCTGCTGTCCGAACAGCACAGCTCCACGAACGTAGTTGGCTCCGTGCACCGAGTCGAGTCCGTAGATGACTGGATGACTGCCGTGACTGGCGTAAATGTCTTGAATTTCTGTGATCAGATTGCGCCACTCTCGAGGAGAAAAGTTGTGCGTGGAGTTCGCGTTCGAGTCGTTCAGCTCAGCACCCGGGGTGTTCAGGTAAGAGCCGACGTTTAGCTTTGCATGTTCATGAACCACAGCTCGGTTCAACGTGCGGTTCGGATACAGAATCGTGCTCACATCCAGCTGCGCCATCTGACCAAGCATAGCGTCCAAGTCCTGGAGGGTTTACATAAGGATCGTCAGTATCGGGTTGCACAGTTCCACGCATTTGAAGGACTTACCATTGCCGACATCATTTCCTCGACGCGGCTCTGAAAGTGCTGGTCGGTGGGCATCTCGGTGGCAACCAGCGAGGCTAAAATTGCCAGTAGAATGACAGCCAGTCTTGCCATGCTAGCTTATTGTCGTCGTCCTTGTGTTGGCGAAGCAAAAGTGAAAGTGACAGCAGAGCTCTTGGAATGGTGCACTCGCCCTTCACCTTGGCGGATCTGAGTCATGCACGTGACGCAGATTGACCTCTACCAAGTCAAAAGCACTGAAACAACTCGGAATTTGCATCTTGAACTTTCGCTTCTCGTCGGACAATCTCGGAATTGCGTACTGCTTGCAGGACTGTGGTGCAACTTTGTCTACAAGAGACCATACTGTCGAAATGCGTACATCCACTACATGTATCGCCATAATAGAGAATGTATTCATTGTTGCTGCAGCGTCGCAGGTTGAAGCCCCCGCTTGTCGACTGAGTATGCATACCGTTCTGATCCGCAGGCTAACACGGCAACTGGATGTCACGGCTTGCACAACACTTGAGTTATGAATTCGTAGCTGGGCCGTTCAAACCTCGAAAGCTACCGAGATATAGTTGTATGAGCACGATGAGTTTCGTTAACAGTAAAAGTTCGTAAACGTTGTCGACAGGATACGTAGTAAGGAACGTATTACGTACCTTGGACAATGAAATGATTAGCATTTACAAAGCAACTTGGCCAATTGTCGAACAAGATTCGAATGGTTCCTTTGTAGAATCAGATTGAGCCAACTATTATTTCACAAAAAGATTTATATATTTTGTGTGAGGTAGTTCGAGACGATAGACACTATGGTTTTCCAAATTGGTAGAGGGCATCGAACATGTACATCGGAAAGAATGCTTCCTGGCCCATTGGGCGTTCAGAGCACATGACTTGGTACGCGAGGGTTGGATCGGTCACTGGTGTCGCACAGAATGGGGTATCATAGGCCCAGACGACTTTTGTGTT